CTGGGTGGCAGCTCTACGCTTCCGTATCCAAGGCTTTTCAATGTGACCTCACAAAATTGTGACGACTACAACAACCATGAAAAGAGTTGGATGGACATTGCTGCTCAATCACAGTTGCCTGGTCAATGTTTTTCATTAGTAATTTAGCAAAGTTGACAGTGGTGTGTGTGTGTGTGTGTGTGTGTGTGTGTGTGTGTGTGTGTGTGTCTGTAAGACGGAGAGAGGGAGAGCGAGAGACAGATTTTGTATAATAAGCTTCATGTTATGGACGCACAGTTTGAGCACTCAGGTCGCATCAGGAAAAAAATCGCACAGTGTTTGCCCAGCTTAATGCGGACTGTTTAAACTAAACAAGCTGCTGCTTCACATAATAAACCCTGTCAGCTGCAGTATTGCCTTCTGTTTTAACAGTTAAAGCAGTAGAGACAAGCTGTTTGCATGTGCGTGGAACTCTAGCGTCATTAACCAGGCTAGCTGTTAGCTTATAGCTCACGCTAGCTGACCAGTGAGCAGTTAAAAAGACAGCTGAAGCTGCACAAAACACCCACAAACTTGTCTCTCTACAACGTAGCGCCGAAAATATGACTCGCAGCTTGAGCTCGACACAGCTGCTGTAACATAAGACTGACATCCAGCTAACCACAGCTAAAAAGATATTTAGAGAAAACTTACCGTTTCCTCAGGTTACACGAGCTGAGTTTTTTTCACGCTGAAAAGTTAGTTTGTTTTGGCTCTCACTGAAGACACCGACGCTGAAGACATAGCTGTTCTTTTGTGCTGCTTTTAAGAGAAACATTCTTTGTATATGAGGAAAATGCTGTTCATCCTCTTCAGCTGTAGCGTAGACGACTGGCTCTGCCATGTTTTCATGTTTCTTCTTTCTGTGTGTCCGCTACTTTGAAACGCTTGGGCCGCTCTGCCCGCCACAGTTTCAAACTGGTCATGACTGGTCATGTCAACTCCTCAGCAAGGAAAATCGCTATTGGCTGTACTAAAAGTCGCTAGAGGTCGCTAAATGACGTCATCACCTAATTGGCATAATTGGTCATGCTAAT